AGAAAAGTAATTAAAGTATTGATACATTCAGCAAACATTTCCCCAATCACGCTGCTGAAATAGGAATTGTTTGTTTAAACAGAGCTTGCTAAGTGTATGTACAAAAATATAAGGTTAAATAGTTACTACATACTAGGAAAGCCAACTTGCATTTAAAGAAACAAAATAAATAATGTCAAACCGTTACTAATATTGCAGTCAGCCACTCAAACATTAGGAACTCCCAGAACCGAGTGCAACGGTTTGGTGTTTGCCCAGATCTGTGAAGTAGCTATGTGCCATCTGTTCCCCGCACAAAGGACATGAGTTTATTCTTGCTGGTGGGAACTGCTGTCTGAGAGCCAACACTTGGCAGCGTCGGTCCTTACCCTTGAAAAGCTGGCAGAGAGCGCTTTTTAGCCTTTGAGTTCCCTAATAATGTTCCCCTGCAGGGTGCAGGTCCCTCATGAGTGCTTTATTTCCCTCTTTATTCTGATTCACCGTCCCGTGCAGACAGGCAGGACGCCTCAAGTGCACCAGTCTCCAGTGGTCCCCTTACCTGCCAGCACCTGATGGGCTTAATCGTAAAATAAATCAAACATTTAAACAGTGAAATCTATACTATTACAAGCTGAGGGATTGTAGGTTGCAGCTAAGACAAATGGGTTGGACTAGATGACTTTTAAAGGTCCCTTCCAACCCAAACTATTCTATGATTCTATGAAAAAGCAAAACCATCCCGTGGTCTGTGCAGGATTCCCTCCTCGCCGTCACCCTCCATCTGTGGGGGACATCCCGCTTCCCGCAGACGAGAGCAGCACCCTGCCCTTCGTGGTGGCCCGTGCAGTCTGGCTGCTTGCCACCTTCTGCTCCTTGGGAATTAGTTTTTGGACACAAAAGCGAATGTCTGGTCGTCGGAGCCAGGTATCTTGGTAAAAGGGATTTTGCAGACTTGGTCATATGTAATCAGTCAGGGAGCAAGTAATCTAGATAAATGCTAATGAAAGCTCTTGCTGGCACCTTGTGTATTCCAAGGCTATTTACTATTGTTCCTAGTCAGCTGGCTCGCTAACTTCCCATTCAGTCTGGATTGCTCAGATTCAGCGGGGACCACTATAATATTCACATTACACGTGATATAAGCCATCCACTACGCGTACATTTTGTTAAGCTCATTATCTGTGGCACACTGGCGAGACCACACATGACACATTGTTAAGGCAGATGACAGATCTCCTAACGAGCTGCCGTATCTGGACAAACCAAAGGAAGCCAGTTTACCTCCACAGCACGCATTGACGAGGGTTCCTGGAACACACCGGCCTTGCCTCAGTACGTGTGTTTTAAAGCAAGTGCAGTCACACAATTAACATCCACCCCATCCCGCACAGCTCAGGTGGCTCTTTCTGGGTCCAGCAGTGAGGAGCACTGAGAAGATCTCTTTGTTCTTGATATCAGTCTCCAAACCCCACAAAGAGCAATTAGGAAACGGAACCGGCCTCGTCAGACCTCATTCATCGTGGAAGAAGTCTCATCAGAATTAAACTGAAAACTCGCAGCAACTTTTTACTTAGAACATGCAAACTGTAACAGCTTAAAAGCTGACCAAATTTGGCAGATTTCACAGGGCCAACACAAACCATCCCTGCGCCAAACTTCAAATTTCTGTTTCAAATTATGTTGATACTAAAACCTTCTCAAAGAAAACACATCCGGAATTTCTTAACGTGGGCAAACAATGTTTTTTTTTTTTTTCTGTAATCTTACTCTTGGAAATGACTAAAGCACTTCAGCTGAAATATACCATTAAAAGCAAAAATCAGCCTTGGACAGTGCCCAGAACACAAATTTACAGCCCAAATGTTGAAAGTTTGTTAAAGCACCATAAAAACTAGTCTATATTAACCTGAGGCAGCGCTACCATTTCTACCGATGAGATTAATAGAAAAATACGAATTAGATGTCAATAATGGAAAACATCTCCGTTGAGCTGAGCGCTGGCCTGACTGTCAGGCTGGTTTATTTACCAGAGCAACAGGGCAACAAAGCCAACTGCACCGGTAAGCCCCGCTCTTTGCTGCTGAGCAACGTGCTCAGGCTCTGTTAGCTGAAGAATCCAAAACATTGCATTTATGGGATCCCTCCACTCTTACCTCAAACCAAGAGTCTTCTGCTGGACTTACTCTCCTGGCCTGATCTACAGATTATCTTTCTGAATCAGACAAAACTTTCTGAAAACAGGTTATTGCTGGTTTCAGTGGCATTTTCTAGACTGAATAAAAATTATCTCACTTAGCCTATCATGTTGCTATAGGAAAATAACAAAATAGGTGCATTTCCGTTGAAACTGGAAATGAAATATCCCTCCTGTTTCTGTTTAATTTCTCATCAGATTCAGCTGCATGCTATTTCTGAAAAAAATTCCTGATTCAACTCAGCCACCTGGACTGAACAATAACATTTAAATAGCAACTAGTGTTTAAGAAGAAACTTAATTACATTTAAAAAAAAACAAAACAAAAAAACATAGGCAACATTTTTGAAAGTTTTACCTTAAGTTGCTTAATCAAATTACATAACCAAAAATTATCTAATCAAAGCCATACATTTTTTCACAATTTCACTAGGGTCTTTTTTTTTTTTTTTTACTTAATTCAGTTATCATCATCATCTTTTCTGCTTTTAGGGCACACTAGTTCCCTCACTCCAGAACTTTCCAGTAGTTCGAGATCCACAGCAACTGGCTGCCAACCAGCTTTGGGAATGCCCATAGGACAGGGGTTGAATAGAAGCATATCTAACCAGGGATGGCCTGAATTGTTCTTCAGCTTTGAGGCCATCAGTGAGATCCAGCCTACCTCTGTCTTGCTGTAACCTTGCAAGTTCTACCACTATGGTGGTGGTCATCTCCTCGTCAGGGAAGCATCACAGTCCCAGCACAGGGATGGAGTCCCTGTCTGCTTTCAGGTGTTTGGCAGGGATTTGCAGAGGTCTCCTTCCTTTCTTTTCCTGAAGGTAGGTAGATTTTGCTACCAAAACACAGTCTCAGAGTTAAGGGACCCCTTCTAGACTCATGGTCTCTATTTATGAAAATTTAGTACTAAACCACGTGGACAGCATGAGCTGCATTTCAGTAGCTGATCATTTTAATGCAAATTGTGAGTCGTTACACTGGTAGTAATAGCTGAGTGTCCCGCAACATACCTATAGCAAGATACCCGCATACAGAGTCTGGACATTAAAGCTGCAGATGATTCTTGCACAACATTTCCATTACCATCCACAGAAACTTGCTAAGCCAATAAAAACCACTTCGAGCCAAGAAGGCTCCAGGCAGACCTTATTGCGGCCTTCCAGTCCCTAAAGGGGGCCTACAGGAGAGCTGGGGAGGGACTTTTTACAAGGGTGTGTAGTGATAGGACAAGGGGTAATGATATCAAACTGGAGGAGGGGAGAGTTAGATGAGATATTAGGAAGAAATTCTTCCCTGTGAGGGTGGTGAGCCCCTGGCGCAGGTTGCCCCGAGAAGCTGTGGCTGCCCCATCCCTGGAGGTGTTCAAGGCCAGGTTGGACGGGGCTTGGAGCAACCTGGGCTGGTGGGAGGTGGCCCTGTCTATGGCAGGGGGGTTGGAACTCAATGATCTTCAAGGTCCCTTCCAACCTAAATCATTCCATGATTCTGTGATACCCGCAGCAGGAGATGCAAGCCCTCTGCCATGCAACGCCTGTATGGGAATTGTACTCTTGTTCCATTCCTAGCCACTCTGTCGTTGCCTCTTCTTTATAGCAGAATGAATTGGCTAAGGATTATAAAAATGCACACTTTCTGAAAGCTTCACCAATTGGAAACAGTATGGTCAGTCCAAACGTGTAACACAAGGTAGTGTTTCCTGCAGACTGGAAAATATCCATAAAGCTTATGACCTATGAGTACTTTTCTAGTTCATCGGGCAGTTCACTGATGTTTTATCCTTTACATCTGCGGCACAGGTTTAATGTTGTCCTGGTCTGAGGCACTCAAATACTGAATAGTCATAAATGCCATACTTACTTTATTGTATATCTTTTTATAATCTGGTAAAGTTTATATTTTTAATACAACAAATAATATGTGAACTCGTCATGCACACTCTTCAAGTGCAATGAGAGTCAGTAGCATAGATGGCCCTTTTTCCCTTGGTATAAATATTAATCTAAAGCTAATCTATAAATATCAATCCAAGGGACTCTTTTTTGTTGTTTTTCCCCTAAATCCACATACATTCACATACATCTCTCTTGCCCTCTAGCCAGATCCTAAGGCTGTATATAGGCTTTCAGGGACAGAGGTGGCCTTTCTGCGTTGTGTTTGTTAAATGCCTATTTCAGTCACCTCCTGCTGTAAAGCTGAGGCTCTCGGATGCACCCCAGTATGTGTGGAAAATACCCACTGCTAAGCGTATGCAACTTTGCCACAGCCACTGTGACTTTTGTACCATCGCATTCACATCATCGTGACTTACATTTAAACTCTACTTTCTAGCCTGCTTAAATATGTTAAGAATTATCCTGAGGGACCATAGTAAAATGTAGTCATGTTTATTTGTAATTGCTACAAAACGGTTTACAAAATTGTTAGTGTCTTTTATTATCCCTGCTACTGAAGCACTTGCCTGTTAATTAGAGAAATTTCAGCTGTCATAGCTGGCAATTATAGCTCCTGTATCACTGTCTGTTATGAATAGTCAATGAGAGCTGATTAATATGCATGAGTAGCAGTATATAGTGCGTGCGCTGGAGCAGCGTGCCGCAGCCGGAGCGGCGCGGCAGAGGGAGTGCGGTGCAGCGCCGGGGAAGGAGGGAGAGCAGGAAAGAACACAGCCCCGATCCTCTGCGGCACCCTGCGCCGTACCGCCACGAACTGTTCCGGCCCGGCCGAGCCACCGAGGGCTTCCGAGGATACCCGCATGCATGCTCGCTAACAGAGACTGCTGTGGCTGCTCTGGCGAATAAGGAAGATTATTTCTGCCCCTCGTTTAACCATGGGATGCAGTTTGTGCACTCTGCAGAAGCAGGAGGAACAGTACAAGTTACTGTACGAAGTTTGTCAGGTAAAGAATTAGATTTCATTTCTAAAAGCAAATGTTCTCTTTTGGGCTTGTGACCACTGTTAATGACAGGGAAAATGGAATACCACAAACTACTTATGCAAGTGGCAATGAAAGGGGGTTTGTCTTATTTGATATGTGTATGATAATATTTTTTGGTTTTATGAGGTACGTTCCTATTCACACTCGCGGAACATCAGATATTTAAATGTATATTACTGCGTATCAAACTTTTTACAAAACTGTGCCTCACAAAATACAACTCTGTAGTTAGTGTCTCCATTATGTATTAGGTAAAATTTCTTGCCCGGGGTCGTGGCTCGGTCACGCACTCTTTGAACAGGGTTGGGAAAGGGGTGCAAGGGAGGTCGTGTATCTGTTTACCAGTACGTACACACACTTATTTCCATACAGTGCATTCAGTCAGTGCTCCGTCTGCTCTTTAAGCGCCTGTTCCTGCCAGTGGAAGTTTATGGCTGGTTGTTGTAGTTTTTGCACCTCTGCATGTAGAAATACCAGCTAACAAACAGTTAGAATGGACAGCAGATTAAAACTACTCCTCTAACAGATCTTTACACATCACAGTATTCGTATTAAGCATCTGATAAGTTTTCTAATAATGAGATAACAAACTAAATTCTATTACAAAAATGTTATTTCCTATATTTCTGCTTTTCCTTCTGCCTGTCTCTGAAATTTCTCACTCTGTCACATCTGCAGTACATTCTGGACCAAAACAGCGAGTGTGTTTAGGGACACACTCCTACCTATCTCTTTCGAACTAATCGTAGCAGAAAGCTTATGGTTAACCTCTGAAAGCGTGAAGTGTGTTGTCTGTACAAACACTCCAGATAAACACACCCTACCCAGATCCCTCCAGCTGTACTTTACCACCTCGCTGTTCCAAAGGCCGTTTAGAATAAGTGACAGTTACCCCCAGTCTCAGGAGTGACATTTCCCAGCGCTGCCGCCTTCCGCGCCGGCCGGCAGAGGGAATTGCTCAGCAGAGCATGGGAGGGAAAGAAACCCTGTGTCCTCCCTGCGATGATGCCACCTGCATCTGACCCCACACACTGATGGCACTGACAACAAAGTGAATAAAATATGTGGTTTGTGTGTTACGCTAGCAGGGAAGTGATTAAATTTTAAACACGTAGTTTTGATCTAATTCTCACTCACTCACCCAAAGGACGCTGATGCTTTGTGGAAGGAGAAAAAAAAAAAATTTGTGAGAGCAAATAGGAAAACGTGTTTACTGTCATTTCTATTTATACCAACTCACTTCCACTTGCTAAGCTGCTATGCATGCCATGGCGGGAAGAATTTGAGAGAAAGGCAGTCAGGTTTCTTGGATGTTACTCTGTACTGAGAACTAGTTTCAGATGCTGCCAGTGACCACAGACCTGGGGCCAGGTATTGTCTGTGCGAAACCCCCCCCAGATCAAGCAGTGGCTGTGGTGATAGTTACCTATCCTCAAGGTCGCCAAGTTTTCACGCTGCCCAGGTTTGAGGGCTATCAGTGAATCACATTCAGAAGTGCAACAACCAGAACAAACCCCAACAGGAGGAAATTGTGAATATTTTGATTGCTTAGGAAAGCTTGCACGTTTTTTGTTGTGAAATGAAGGCGGCAGAGAACCTTTGCAAGTTACTGACATCTCCTAACAGATGCAGGACAACATTCTTTAAATACGTGTCCTTAAAACCAGTCACAGGAACAGTCCCACTGATATGTGAGATGACTAAACTATCCGGTGCTGGCTGCAGGTGCAGATCCCTTGCAGTAGTTTGGATTTAGAAATCAACCTGCAAAGTACAGCAACCTTGTTTCAGCAGCATGTGGAGCACGGGGCACAGCACCCCTGATTAACTTTAAGCATGGAAGTCCTTTGGGAAACACGGTTGGAATATCCTCAGCTTCCACAGAAGTGAAAGGTGCATGTAATCCTATAAAATTGGGATTTCTAACATAGCAAAACCTGAATTATTTAAGACTATAATCCCTGATTATTCCAGAATATAAATTATCTCTTGCAAAATTAGTTTAAGAGGGTACTACTTTGATTTCTCTGATGGAAGGGAATTCTATAGCTTAGGGAGTACATCTGGATAATTAAATGTCACTATAACTATAAAAATGACTCCTCATGTAACCTACACGTAAAAGTAATCAGTTAAAATTTAACGGTGAGGGAGATGAAGAATAATTTTCATTTAAAATAACAGGATATAAAAGACAAAAGTTTCAAAATATGCTAGCAGTAACAAATACCTCTTACAGTGGTTTTATTTTGTATCATCCATGTAACCTTAATATCATGTGATAAGATGACATAGCCATTTCTGAGAAAACTAAAAGAAGCTTTTTCAAAGTCTGAGTTAGACAAAATTTGCATAATTTGGGTTTAGGAAACATTGAGCATTGTTACAAATAAATCCCCTTATTTAGCCTTGTTTTGTAGAAGTTCATGACTCTGAGATGTAGGAATTCAGACAACACTTGCAAGAATTAATAATAGTACATAACTGCACTTTCTCTATTAGGCCAAGAGCTTTAGCGTGGCTGGGAAATTAATGCTTCAATAAATTACAATTCCAGAAGGTCCAGTACGTCTGGCTCCGTAAGTCCTCATAACAGAGAGCACAAAGAGGATCAAATATACCAGGGCTCAGGCTTTATCCCTTCCTCATCCATAGATAATTCAAAGAGATCCTCTTCATTAAGGGCTTTGGCACATTGCCTACAATTTCTTTTTGGGCTGCTGTGAGCTTAATGATGCAGAACAATGGTCTTCCCTCTTGTTGAACACATACCTTATTGTACCTTTAATCACATAATAAAAACCAAATTAAGACACCTCGTCATTAAAGTCTATTGTAGCTGTGCATATCAATGCTTTGTATTGCAAATACAAAGAGGACTGTGGCAGCTTGAAATCTTGATGCAGAACAGTGTCACCGACCGTAAGCGTGCTTGTGGCAGCAACGTGATGCATGTAATGTCTTAGATGTATCCTGAGATTTACTTCCTAGCTGCATGCAGCATATGAAATGAAGTCATTATATGCTATTCAGATTTTGGGTTTCTAGTTAAATGGAAATCTTCTTAAGAAGATTTTTAAGGTTGTGAAAGTGAAGGGAGACGGGGGAAGAAAAAAAAACAGAAAATTAGGAGAGTGTTTTAGACCAGTTTTCCAGTTTGCTTTTCTCAATGCCATCAGGTCCTATACAAACAGTAAGAGAAATAAGGGCTTTTCCCTTTGCAGGAAAATTCCCGGGGGACCAAAAAGTAATCACCATTGAAGGAAACTGACAGAAGAATAAGTCACCTGAGATAAAGCTTTTGAGTTTGTAATACAGAAAAAAAAAAAAGAAAAAAAAAAAAAAAAAGAAAAAAAAAAAAAAAAAGAAAAAAAAAAAGGACCTCAATTTAAGAAACTTTCTGAGTACCTGTTTCACTCTGAGCGCATGTTTATGCACAGTTTGGGAGGTGAGAACACAGTGAAATCATGTACTAAATAGACACTTAATATTTCCAAGGTTAAGAACATAGTTTTAAATCACAGATGACTCTTAAACTCGATGGGCAATACTCAGAGCTGTTCCCTGGGATTCAAGATGATGGAGTTCACGCAATTCTCATGGTGGGAAGATATCATAAAAACAACCCATCAAAACTGGCACTCCCAGCTGAGAAATCATGCAATAAGCGAGTATGGAGACTAAGCCCTTTCCTCCGGGCTGTCCCTCCAGAATAAGGATAGAAACGCTGGCAGGAAACAAGCTCACGTTGCTGCTGCCCTTGCTTCAGATGATCCGAGGTCAGAATATTTCTGCCTCCATGATTGTTGAGCTGGCACCTTTCACAAATACTAAAGTTCATATATAAATAAACAGTTGATGTAATGACCTTTTAGTGTTTTAGGAACTCAAAAGCCCCGTTCACATGCTCGTGGCCTGGCACGTCTCTGCGACAAGTAAAAATGACAGTGTTGGTAAAAACAATAGTGGGCAAGCTGGCTTAGTCTTTTAAACTAGACTAAGATATGATGAGGCCAAGGTTATGTAAGCACCAAGGTCAGCATACAAATTGCTGTGCTAATGAGACGACGGTAGTGATGAGGAACTAACAGACACTCTATTTCATTGGCAACTTCCAGCTGCATCACTTGCGAGAAGACTATTCCGGCAGCAGAACTCACACACAAACCAGTTGCACTGAGCTGATCACCGACACAGTTCCCTTCGCCATTAGAATTCCATTCACATGTTTAGACTTCCAAAAATTAGACTAAAGTAATCAGTCATTAAGAAAGCCCAATTCAAGCAGTCTAACTAGACCAAAAGCTACTAAGCAATGATGTTATCCTCAATCAGGGCCAAAGCGCAGCTTGCCATAATAAACGTTAAGGTCAAAAAAAAAATTTCTAATCAAAACTGCAAGACTTGGGAAACAAAAATAATTGCCTCTGTACATATGCTTTTCACACCCTCAAATTTAATTGGGCAGCCAGAGAATTAGGTGGTCTACATTTCAGTAGTTTTCCATGTTAAGACCGAACTGGTTGTGTCAATTATAGTGAACTGGTCTACTTGAAATACACTGTATGGCTTCAGATACTCTGTACGTACACTGTCTGTGCTGCAGCTGAAATTAAGAATAGCGTTGAAGTTATATTCTGTCACTTCACTACCATTAAACTTGACCTCAATAACAGTTGTGAACCTATCACACTTACTTCAAAGTAGGCATGTATTTGCTTAAACAAGATGTTAATTCCACAGGCTTTGTTCTAGACAGGGTTTTCTACTGCTGAATTAGTTCAGCTGCAGAAAAACTCTGCTTGACAGACTGGAGACTCATAATCTTCAGAAAACTGCCCTTTAATGATTGCGGCGCCTGTCTGTGGCTCAGAAGCCCCCTTTCTTAATTAGACATTTACCAGAAACTGGCAATTGAAATTTTCCTCTTCACTTGATGATGAATAATGCAATGCCTCTGT